CTCTTAATGCTTGGGGTAATTCTGACTGTGGTGGTATAATTTGGGATGAGAATGGAAGGTGAAAAAAAGGCTTCACATGTAAATTGTTAATTGTTCCACCAGCCATTGCAGAAATTATTGATATGTTTTAAGGGCTTGATCTATGTTGGAAAGATGACTGCAAAAATGTCCACATCATTTCAAACTGTGTTGGAGGCTATTAATCTAGTCATTAGAGGATGCAACGAGTCCCATCTGTTCAACAATATTATTACTGACACCAAGAAATTGGTTCATAAAGATAGGAAGCTAAAGTTCTCTCACGTAGTAAGGGAAAAGAATGTTTTGGCTGATAAACTAGCCAAGTTTTCTTACAATTGTCATGATAATTTTTGTATTTTTGATCATCCTCCAACATTTCTATAAGGGTTGGAAAAAGATGACAGACCCTCCTTACATGTTGAACTTGATGAGCTTAATGCTCTTTAATTGTTAATATATGTTTTCAATATTATTCTAAAAAAAGAAAAGAAAGGAAAAGACAGACACATAAATGTAACATTCAATTCCTTCTGATATTACCGTTGCAACAAGCATACAGGTAAGATGCCTCCTCCCTCTAGGCTAAAACCATCAACAATCAATCATCACCGACTAATCAATAACAGAGCCAGCGTCTTGCATTTCTTCAAGCGTCCCCATTCAGCGATTACGTGAACTATTTTCAAACATGAATTTGATATATATAACATGCCTCAATATTCAAGCGTTCGCACGCGGTCATCATGAATCAATGAAATGCTCTTACTATTCTTTCATGTAGATAGCCATTAAACTAGAAACCATGAACATAAAATGGCTCGCAGCAGTGCCGTAGAAATTTTTTATTGGTTATTTTCATTTAACTTAGTAATTGAATAGCCAATTGTATCCAGTCTTTTTACTATTTTTCTGTTGCATTAGTTTTTATTCAGATTTTAAATCTGACAAGTTAAATTTTAATTTTTAGAAAGTGCTCTTAATATTCTGTGAAAGTTAAAAATTGTTCACATGTACATAAAAAAAAGAGAGAGAGAGATGAGAGTGCTTTTATAAAGGTACTTTGGAAAAGTTGTTGAATGTGTATTTGCTCAACTTGACCTCTTAACTTTAAAATGACTTTGTTATTCCTGATTTTTATATAAAGAGAAATTGCAGGCATACAAGCGGCAAATTGACGCTTATGCTATAAAAAAAATTATTTACCTAAATACTATACTTTTAAAAGTATTTCCCCACATACTATAAATTTAAAACTTGGTTCATATCAAACTAAATTTTAAATGTTTTTTTAATCTTGCGGTACAGAACACGGTTTATCATGGACCGAGTTCTGTATTTATATATATATATATATATATATATAAAGATAAAATGTAGGTTCAGGCTACTTTGCATCCTACTTTCCTTGTCTTTGCATGTTCTCCAATGATGAACATTAATATGTGGTTGTCTCTTTTGCTTTCAGCATATATTTTTTCTTTCCTTTTTTTTTTCTAGCAAAAGAGGACCAAACAATGTAATTATGTATATATGTATGTATGTATGTATAATATAAATAATATTTCATGTATCAAAAAATAATAAATTATTTTTAATTATAATTATAATAATTATATACTTCAAAAATTATAAAATAACTACATAATCAATAACAACATAAAATTATATAAATTTAAATCATAATAAATAATTTTAGGGTTAGATTATTAAAGATCATTTCTCCCTTCACTGTTTTTCTAGTAACGTCCTATACAGTGGGGCAATATCATATGTAAATACTTTATCTGTTAAAAAATATAAGGCATTTTTAATTTTTCAAAGTATAACTATTATTTCTTACCAAAAGTACCATCATTAAATAAATCACTTTATATTTTTTTAAGAATAAATCACTTCAAAAAATTAAAAATGCCTTATATTTTTTAACAAATAAAGTATTTACATATGATATTGCCCCACTGTATAGGACGTTGCTAGAAAAACAGTGAAGGAAGAAATGATCTTTAACAATTTAACCCTAAAATTATTTATTATGATTTAAATTTATGTAATTTTATATTGTTATTGATTATGTAGTTATTTTATAATTTTTATAATTTTTGAAGTATATAATTATTATAATTATAATTAAAAAATAATATATTATTTTTTGATACATAAAATATTATTTATATTATATATGCATACATAAATATATATAATTACATTGTTGGGTCCTCTTTTGCCAGAAAAAAAAGGAAGGAAAAAACATATGCTGAAAGCAAAAGAGGCAGCCACGTATTAATGTTTATCATTGGAGAATGTGTAGAGACAGGGGAAGTAGGGTACAAAGTAGCCTGAACCTACATTTTATCTTTTATTTTTTTTATATATAAGTACAAAACTCGATTTAGCATGGATCGAGTTCTATATTGCAAGATTAAAAAAATTTTAAATTTTGGTCTGACATGAATCGAGTTTTAAATTTACAGTACGCAGGAAAATATTTTTAAAAGTGCAGTATTTGGGTAAATAATTTTTTTTTGTAGCATAAGCGTCAATTTGCCCATACAAGCTTTTAAAATGTCTTTTGATATTAATATATGTTCCCTCATTTCAAAAAATATAAGGCATTTTTAAGAAGTTGGATGTTAAAAAATATAAGACATTTTAAGTTTTTTAAAGTGTGATCATTGCCTTTTTTAAAAAATACCCTTATTAAATAAATAAATTTATACTTATTTTTAGATGAAACACTCTATTAAATAAGGGGTAGGTTTCTCTCCTTTACTTTTTTTTCTTTACTGCAAATCTTAATCATTCAAATTAAATCTATATTTTTAGAAATTATCAAATATAAATTTTTAAATCCAAATTAATGGTCTAGACCTGTGCTGTTCTCTCCTCAGTTCTTCTCTGTATAGAAAAAAATTTAACTCTATTAAATAAAGGTAAATATAAAAAGATAAAATTAATTTAAAAATAAGTAGTTACTTTATTGAAAGTAATATTTGGTTAAAAATGCCTTACATTTTTAAAGAGAAAAAATATTAAATTATTTATATAATTTTTATTCACATATCAAACTTTATATTTTTCTATCATTTTTACTTTTAAAATTTTTATCACATATATATTTTCAAACATTTATAATTGGAAGAATTTGCATGACAAAAATATACTCCCTCCTTTAAAAGAAGTTGAATGTTAAAAGATATAAGGCATTTTTAATCTTTTGAGGTGTAATCATTGCCTTTTTTTAAAAGTACCGTCATTGATAATAATTTTATATTTATTATAGGGTATTTGATAGAAATAAATATAAAAAAATATGGTTAGTTAAAAAGTAGATAACTACTTTAAATTTTTTAATGAAGGAAGTAAATTGTAATAAAATTAATGTCTCTCTTTGATAATTGTATAGTTAAAATATTCTTTGTTATTATAATTCAAATAATGTTCCATTAATCGAATTAATTGTTAAAAAATATATTCACACATAAATGTTACTGCAACCACTACCGAGTTTTCTAAACTGATTTTTTCGAAGTGATTCTTTTAACAAATTGACTTGAGGGCGAAAAGTAATCAAACGGGCGCTTAACTGACGTTCTACATTACACGGTAACACGGGATAACGATGTGAAAGCAAGGGAACGGTGCCCCGTCACGTCAACCAGGGCTGTTCTCTCTGGCCACACTGCCACAGTTTATCTGTGCATTCCAGTCCAGGCCTTGGATTCATTGGCTGCCATTCATTTTTTTCGGCGTCAGAAACTTTCGGTTGCTTTTACAATAATTATACCCCTTACAAGCGTACAAGGGGCCAAACGGAGTAATCTATACACTATTTTAAACTAAACTAATAGTGAGTTGTTCAAGAGTGATGAAGGAAAGCACGTGGCGTGCATTATAGTTTGAGGGCGAAGGCAGCAATGGTCGAGGCCGATATCATCCACGTTTGTCAAACCACATGCCTCTTATTCTGTCCAGGAGCCGCAAAACCTAACGGACTCTTGATCAGCTGCAGATCGTGCGAGTAACCCTGTATATAATTTATTCCCATATATGTTGAGTTGATGATATTCATTTTTCGCGGGATATGTAACCATTCTTTTTATCAAGACAAGCAAGACACTAATTATTGGATCAACCTAATACATGATCATCAGACCGCACTATTTTTTTTTTTTTTTTGCTGGAAAATTACCACCGTGTTAATCGATTGCCTGATTGGTGAGCGACCTGTCTCGAAACTTTTAGGCTCCAACACACTTGCAACTTGACTTTATCACCCAAGTTGAAGATACACGAGGAAAAATATCTTGAGCCATCATGATTCAAAATAATAAAAATAAGCTTCGCGGCCGAAAGAATTAACAAGTGGCGAACCCATTGACAATTGGCAGAGAGTGGGGATCGTCCCTACTCTCAAGATGATTCCAGACGTCCGTGAATGATCCGCGTCTTCAATCTTCGACGTTTCTCTACCTCATAAAAAATCGCATACACTTGCCACCGCACAATGCAAAGAAGTTGAATTATATAGTATACTCCTTCAATTTTATTTACAAGACACATTTTAAAATATATATTTAATTTTATTTATAAATTAAAATTAAATTTTTTAAAAAGTACTTGAAAAATATTTTTAAAATTATCCTCTATAAAAAAATAATATCGCTTTTTAAAATTTATTATATAAAAATACATTTAAAATTTTATACATTTTTATCTTTTTATATTTTTCTACATGAAGCCTGATAAAAATAATTTATAAAAAAATATTTCTTAAAAATAGGTGGATTGCTCGAAATAAATGTCTTCTTCTATTTGATTTTTTGCCCTCGTGAAACACTCACGGCTCAACCGTAGTCTTTTTTATAATGGCCAGTTCACATTTGATGTTCTAGAACCTTGGCCAACCACAAGTCGAGGCGACGTTATTGGTCGGATGGATTCATGGGTCGAGCCGACGAGGACACGATTTGCTTGTCGCGTTATACAGAATGAAAATCTATTTATTTCAAAAACGAAAAATACATTGAATTAAAATTGAAATACGGAGGGGGAAAAGAAAAAGACAAAACTATTAGACGACATGGTCTCGTTCTCTGTTCTCAAAGAGAACAGAGGAACTCGCCATACGAACCCTATGACAAATAGATTCCAGATCTACGTCCCCGAAGGAGTTGAGTAGCCACATAACCACCAAAGCCCGCTCGGAGTGACACCGATTAAGAACCGCATTTGGTTCCGTTCCAGGCTAGATAGACGAGATGAAAGGGTCAATCCATTGATCTAGACCCTAGAGTTTCATTGGAGCGGTTCCACTTCATTTCCTGCCCAGAAGCGTAGCGCGCAGCTCGGCAACGTCGATCTCCTTGGAATTCTCCGGTCTGTAGTAACCGGTGACAGGGTCCGGCACCCACGACTCCTTTTCGGCGGTCACCCGCTCCTCCCCTGATTTCTTGGCCACCTTGCCGCTCACGGAGGCAGCCCCGGCCCTCGTGGCCGTTGTGGCGAATCCCTGCGACGACGATGCGTACCCACGCCTGTGCACCACCAACAAAGCCAAACTTAAGTAAAATCCCACATAATCAAAATAAATTAACAAATAATTCAATGAACGATGGAGTACCTGGAGATGGCGTTGACGAGGAGAAGAGAGAGAGCGTTGAGGTTAGAGAAAGAGCGAGCCATGGTGAATGGTGGAACTTGTGCGGGGAAGCTGTGGAAAGCTGCTTTTGATGGTTAAGGATGATGAGAACAGGGAAAAGAAACCTTCCACAGCGGCGAGAGGAACCTCTCTTTCTGTTCGGCGCCTCTCCTTCCCAACACTTCTTCCCTGGATTCTATAATAGAGCCTGAGGCCTTTATATACAAGTGAAGCCTGGGCGAGGGTGGGGACGATATTAATCCTCGGATTTTCCTTTTTTTTTTCAAAAAAAAAAGGTGATAAATAGGGGAATTATGGGGCGCGTGCGGGAAAGAACGGGGAAGGAGGAAAATATCAAAAACAGGTATCCATAATTGAAGGGAGGGGAGGAGCCCAGTCAAAATAAAGCACGTAGAGGACCTCTCCCGCTCTGCCACCTGTTCGTTGCTTGCTCCTGTTGAGACCCGCTTGAGGCGGCAATTCCTTCGTAACGTAGCTAACCTCGATCACGTCTGCTCTCCTCTTTTACCTTCTTCTTATGCGTTAAAACGAAGTTGTTAAACTTTGGCCCAAAAAAATAAAATAAGGTTGTTAAACTCACGTATTTAAATAATGTCGTGATATAAATGTAAATTTAAATTATAAATTCAGATAATAAATTTTAAAAATTTATCTCTAATAATGAATAGTTACAAAAATTTTATCATTAAATAATTAAAATATAAAATATAATTATAATTCAATTTACATATATTTAAAATATAAATTATTAAAATTAAACTCATATACATTGATAAATTATCATAAAAAACTTACAAATTTTAAAATAGAGAAATTTATTTTTGATATTTTTTTTTCTATTTTTATTAATATCAGCTTTTGCTATTTAAGTTTTCTTCCTCTAAACGAAAATCCTATAACTCTTATGAATCAAATTTTTTATAGTATATATTTAATGTGTTGGACTTGAAAAAAAAAAAGTGCAAGCTTAACAAACTTGTATTTAATTTAAGTATATGAATTAAGTGACACGATTTTATAAGTTAAAAACATAAAAATGATAAACTTATAAATATAATCAAGTTTGTTTTTAATCTAATTTTATGAGTGAATTGACGTGATTTTGTAAGTTATAAATATAAAAATATTAAATTTAAAAAATTAATTCAAGAGTTTAACAATTGTGTATTAAAATATGCCGTGTGTATTTTATTTTTAACATAAAATGGAGATGCCAATGTCCTCATCGTCAGCAAGAAGAATTTGACAGGAAGGGTTTTTGAAAGAGTACCAAGATACGGATCAAATAAATTAATTATTATTTATGATTTTTTTTTTTTGCATTTCTGTCAGTTTTTTTATTCTTCTGGTTTTTCGTTCCTCGTTTGATTTAAAATTAAAGATTATTTATAGAGATCGGTTTGGGAGGGTTGGCGGCGAAATGCAAGTGGAGACTAGTGTCGGACACGGTCAGTGACCCACCCGCGGTCAATGCTGGGTGGAACCTAGAAAGTGACATGGGGAATGCGTTGAATTTGGCCTTTGTTTGCTCGCCCTGCATAATTAGCTATCGTGACTGTGACCATGATTATCATGCGCAGTGTTTAAATTTTCCGTTCGGTTTATTTGACCTCTTCTTGCTGCTTTTCCCAACTTGCCCGTGGAATAGCGTCCCTCATTGTTTGCCCCACTTTGGATGGGTCGCCCAGCTCCTAGAACTTTCGAAGAGCCACAGTCGGTGCGCAACCTCAATTTTTATGCCAATCCAACTCTACATTTCTTCAGAATCACAGTGTACTATATCGTCGCTGAAACTATTATTTTTAATTAAGGCTCGATTCATTTTAAAGGCTACTCTCTTCTTGTAAACTGTTAAGGGCTCGGAACCAAGACACTTAATTTAAAAAAAAAAAAAACGGCCCTTGACTGTGACTGCTAGTTCTTAGAAGTTCCTTGCGAGCTGGTTTTTGAGAGCAGCCCAGCTTTAAATACTTACAGGATCATGGTATGTACTATCAATAAATATTTTGTTTTGTTTGGATTTAATTGATCTCGATCAAGGCTGCTTTCATCTTATAAAAGCTCGGTACAAAACATGACACGGAAGAAAAGTCGGCGATTCATCAAAGCGTGTCTCAATTATTGTTTGCTGAATTGTGCCCTTTAATTCATAAATCATAACTCCCGTCCCGCTCCGTGTTAATTTCGAACCTGTCAATGACGCGTGGGAGGTTTTTAATTTTTAGCTCGCTCATCTGGCTGCGAGGTCACTAATAGATTACTGCGTCATCATTGATCTAGAACATACTGGACGAGAGCGTGTCCAGGATACTAAACATCATCTTTTTGAAAGTCAACCAACAATAGAATTTCCGGAGAACATGCTGCTCCTCCATTTAAAATTATCATCCCACTTTTAATATATAAAAAATTACTATCCCACTTATATTAATCACGAGAAAAAGTTAACTAGTTGTACGATTTTGAAGAAGTGATAACTGATCTCGTGAAATTATAAAAAACTTGTAACATTTTAAATTAAAACGATACCAACAACTTGTGGCAATTAAGGAGGAATAAGATCGAAAAGGTACTATAATTACCATTTTTTTTTGCTATCCTGAGACCAAACATGATTTAAAATTTGCCATGTAATGGAATCAAATAAAGTAACAGAGATAAATATAAAAAGGATGCATAATTTTAAATGCCATTAACTAACTTGTCAGAACATAAATAAATTAAAAAGTATCTTTTAATGCCAAATAGGGGAGTAAGACATTTGAGGATTTTAAAGTATATCTAATAAGATTTTTCTTTGAAAATGCCCTTGATGACAATCAAAAATTAAGAACCAGACATTAAATTAAATATAAAAAAATAGTTAGAAAATTGAATAAAAAAATGATAATTATTAACAACTTTAGCTGATTTATTACAAATACAAATCAGTTTAAAATTTCTTATATAGAGTAGTAATTTCAAGAGGCGGAAGTACTCAGTGCTAACACCAGGTTCGCATCAAAAGCGTCAAGCAGAGGAAGGATGAGTCGGGATTCACAATTCACAAATCGAAGGTCAGGTTTTTGTCGCCAGCTATTAGCATAACTCGGAGAGCGCTTCACGGGATCGATGCCGGGAAGCAGAACCCCAGCAGTCCAAGCAGTGTATTCACGCTGAACAGGTGGCAATCAATTTTCATTCTATCATGCTGCCTGGCAATCATCACATAACATTGAAGATCCTTTTATTTGAATGGCTGTCAAGTTGATTGCATTTTAATGGATACAAACATTATTAAGGGTGGAGGTGCATGATAATTTAATTTAAAAATTATTAAATTTTCAAAAAATGATAGCTATACTATGACTAAAATTATAACACCATAAGTAAATTGATTATCATTTTTTTAAAAAAAATTATTAACCTAGTTGATAGGATTTTTCTCTTTTGGTGTAAATATACTCCAACATAAACTAAGGCATTATATATTTATTATTCTTTTGACAAAAGTAAACATGTAATTTTTTAAATCCGGTCGCTTCACTGCTACATCAAGTATGTGTATTGATTGAGTTGAATTTTTATGTAATATATATATATATATATATATGATACACAAATATTCTTTATAATTTTTATTTATAAGTCATTTTTAATATATTTTATTAAAATTAAAAAACCTTAATTATTATTAATTTATTTCTACCCATAAAAAAGGTAAAAAAATTATTTTAATATTCAGTAAGAGTAAAAAAATAAATATAAATATAAAAAATATAAAAAATACTTTATAAATAAAATCAAAATTAATCACCTATCTCATTCAAAAAGTAAAAGAACACGTGTATGACACGCGTTCTTTGGTGCCAGCCTCGAACTTGTGTGGGGTCGTGCCGTTGCGAAAGGAGCCAATTCGCTGCATCCTCGTCCTCATGATGACTCGCGGCTTCGCCGCTTTGATTAATTTTCGAATTCCCAGCTTCGTCTTTATTCACCTCCAGCGAAGCTCGGTGACTATCTGAGTGCGCTAGCGCCGCTTCTAAAATTATTCTTCCTCCAGTTCCTTAGCCACTTGTCCCCACAAACACAAACTCAAAATTTGAACGCAAAAAAATGGCTGTCAACAACGCTTCAACGGCAGCCTCTTTTTTATTGGCAAATTAAAATGTTACACACATCCCACCGTGACCTCATTTGGGTCCTGACTTGAACATAGAAATTTTTTCCCCCACGAGCACCCCATGAAGAATATGATAGTGATGGACATCTCTGTCCAGGAAACAAGCGGTACTGATATGGACTAGCCCAACCTTGCTAACAGGAGAAGAAAATTATTGGGCCTTCCAAATGGGCCCAATCGATAAGCCATTTTTGGGCTAAAACCCCTCGAGGCCCGATATCTTAAAAAATGATCGTGCCTTTGGTGTGGATGGTTTCCGGCACCGTCTTGGGGATAAACCCTACATCGTCAGCGTGGAAGTCGCTCCGTTCCCTTCCCTCGGAGTCAAGAGACCGATTTGAAAGCGATTCGGCCATCTGAAGCTTCATTACAGGAAGATTGGAGCTTAAAGATGTCGGAAGTCAGTGCGGGCTCTGAAATACCAGCCAATGTGACCATCTACATCAACAACCTTAATGAGAAGATTAAGCTTGATGGTGCCCACCTTCGACCTCCATTAACTACAATTCCTCTCATTTTCACCACTTCTTTGTCCTAAAATTCGCTTTACTGCTTTCTTTTTAATTTTTTTCCCTTAAAATCGAATGTAGAGCTGAAGAAGTCGTTGCACGCTGTTTTCTCCCAGTTCGGCAAGATACTGGAGGTGTTAGCTTTCAAGACTCTCAAGCACAAAGGTCAAGCCTGGGTTGTGTTTGAGGACGTATCCTCTGCTTCCAATGCGCTTAGGCAAATGCAAGGTTTCCCCTTTTATGATAAGCCCATGGTTTGTTCCTTCGCTTTCTAGGTTTCTAATTTTTCTTCGGTTAGTGCTTGTGCATGATTTGCTGTTATTATTTTATTTTTCCTTTTCTTTCTGGGTTTATTTTATTTCTCGTAGTCATATAGGTGATTCACACTTGTAGGTTTATTCTTGATGTTGAGAAACTTGGAATTGGGTTCATCTTGATATTGAGAGACTTGGAATGGCTTGTTTTTGTTCACAGACCTCCACCGTAATGCAATGTCCTTGAAGTCCTTCACAATTTCTTGAAATGTCCGTAATGCTCATTAAGAGCTATACTAAATTTGACTTATTTATGGAAGGGGGCTAACTAGAAGAAAACTTTCTCTAGACAGGTTTACGGATCTATTTAAATTTAGAGATATAAAATAACAGGCTTTGTTTACAAGTTCATAGATCAATTTAGACTGTAGGTTCAGTGTTATATGGCCTGATTGCATGAGTTGCCTCCTTTTATTTTGTCAGTATGTTAAAAGTCTTTAATTCACTCAATTTATTCTACGCCACATAGATTTCTTACTATTGCTAGAAATTAAATTTTGTGTTGCAATTTGCAGAGAATACAGTATGCAAAGACTAAATCAGATATAATAGCAAAAGCAGATGGCACTTTTGTTCCCAGAGAGAAACGCAAGAGGCATGATGACAAAGGTATTCTAAATTGTTTGTACTTTGTAGCGCGCTACTCTTTGACAATGGAAATCAAACCCAAAAGTGACGAAAATGTGACAAATTGTTGGGTTGAACGGTACTCTCTCCTTTTTAGAAAATCATAAGTTGGGTGATTGAGCTTGGGCTTCAAGGGTTGATGTCAATTGATGCTTCCTGATGCTCGTGAATTTGAATTTTGAAAAAAAGAAAAACTCTCCCAAGAGTGGATTCTAACTGCAGCCTTTTTTGCAGTTACTATTATAGTCTATTTGGGCTGGGGAGATATCCTAAGCATTTAGGATGGGTTACATCTCTCATGATACATAGCTAATGTTATGGTAAACATATGTCATGCATGTGATATTCAATGTGCAATATATTTATTGAAGGATGACTATGAAAAGGAAAAGGAAAATGATAAAGAAATGGTCAAATTGGACGGAGTTGACCTGGTTATAATTTGTCTCAGGCAAAAAAAGGAAGGACCAACATGATGCAAATCAAGCAGGAATGGGAATCAATCCTGCATATGGTGGTACATATGGTGCAACGCCTCCTGTGAGTAACATCTGCAACTTAATTTGTTCACCATGTCATACTTTTGTCATTAATGATGTTAAAAATGATTTTCTAGTAGCTTGTCTCAGTTTAATTTGATGTGTCACCGGCATCATTCTCCTTTCTGTGGTATAGTAAATGGCACTTGAAACTTTGGCTCATGGACTTATACTGAAATTCCATCCAAGATTAGCCTAGATAAGCATGTAGGAGTTCATACTAGAAACTTCTGGGAGTGGAGGGGGGACTTCAAAATTTTCTTGCAAGTTGATTGGTTTGTCTACAGAAAAGAATGCAAACTTTATTTGAGAAAAGTGAGATACATGGCATTATGGTATGTGTATTTGTTTTAAAAGGAAGATGACGAATGAACTCTTTTGAACAAAATTTATATTCAAATGCGCAGTAGCATGGTCGATTTGTTCCTTTTTCTCTTTATTGTGACTGTAAGTACGTAGTTACCTCTGCAATTGCTGCTGTACACTAATGTTGCTGCTATACCAGATATCTTATCCAGGTGGTGCAAAATCTATGGCTCCTGAAGCTCCTGCACCGCCAAATAATATTCTCTTCGTTCAGAACCTTCCCACTGAGACAACTCCCATGATGTTGCAAATGCTCTTTCTTCAATATCCTGGTTTCAAGGAAGTTAGAATGGTGGAAACAAAACCAGGGATTGCCTTTGTTGAGTATGGGGACGAGATGCAATCCACGGTGGCAATGCAGGCTCTACAAGGCTTCAAGATAACCCCGCAGAACCCTATGTTGATAACTTACGCCAAAAAATAAGATTTTGTGCGTTCGGATTTTGCTAGAGAAAGGCCACCGCCATAGGTCTAATCTACAACTTGAACTCAGTTACCCGCCGAATGCAAGTCTGTATCTTTGCTGTATCCCTAAAAATGTCGTGGTTCCTGTATGAATGTTGTTAAGAGTAATTTGATCATTTTTGCGGTTATCTTCAAACTAGCGGCGGTTACAAGGTCATTCTTGAAAAGTTGATCTCTGTCTGCGACGTTCTACTCATACTGGCTTGCTTCTCTGGAAGAATATATTGGGTTTTTAAAACCACCAGTATATCTATATACAGTGTAAATGCTTTAAGAAACCTTGTTATTTTGAAGTTATAATACATTAGCAGTCTACGCTAGTTTAATGTCAGGCTCAAGGTTTTTGTTTTTGTTTTTTAAATTTATTTTTTATATATAAAAAGATAAACACACAAACTATAACCTGGCTGAAGTAAATGTTTTATTTCACTTATCATATGGGAGAAGGGCTGATCACTCTGGTTTGTTAGTGTTGGCGGAATTCTACTCGTCAAAAAAATGAACTTGCTTTAAGCTTCTTCTAGACTAGAATATAGAGTATTAATAATTAATTTATGATTTTAAAAAAATGTTAGTAAAATTTTAGTTTCTTGAAAAAATGTATCTTTTTAATTATACTCTTATTAAATATTTTGTATAAGTGTTATTATGATGATAATTAAAATTTTAATAGATCATTTTTTTTAGAGAGTAATAGATGAAGTGGATGTATAGTTAGAAAAACAATTATAAAAGTCACTCAATACCTTATATTTTAAATTAAGCAATGCTTTTAAAATATGCTTTACATTATGGTTTAGAAGGAGTAATGTTTAAAGTTAACTTTTGGTTTGGATCGGAAGAAGCATTAAAGAATATAAAATATTATGAAAAAAAATTCAAAACCCCTTGACTTGGATGAAAAGAAAACTAAGGAAAAAAAAACTTTCCATACTAATTCATCTCTCGGGAACTGATTACCTTAAGTATGAAGCCAATGAAAGTGAGATTCAGGTTTTTGGCAGATTAGCCCAAGCCATGAGTAATCCCTTCCATTTATCTGAGACATAGTATTAGCCTTTCCACTGCCTTGATCTATGTTCGCAAGTGGAAGGTAGTTGCGTTTCCTTGCTGCATTGTTTAAATCATGCGTCTCTGGATTCATATTCAAGCGCATAAGTTGGAATGGAAGATTTCACGAGTTCCCAGATTTAATTGCACTGGTAAGCAAGTACTTTTTTGTTGTTGTGTTGCTGTTCTTTTCTCTGGATCAGAGTCAAAAGCATACGTGAGTGTATGATTTCACAAATACTACATCAAGTGCTGTAGAATTCTAGCAATTTGGGACCATGATTGAATTTCAAAAGCCTTTGAAAAAGATGAGTGTATGACCAAACAAAGCATTTACTACATATCGAGTTACATGATGCACACGCCAATGCTTAAAGTCTCTGGATTTGATAGTGACCTCATCCAGAATCTATGTTCTTCTTGCACAAGATAAAGCATGTCATTTCAAAACAACAACGGTTCCCATTCGTATCAAATGGAGATGTGAAAAGTTCACCCTTCCAACATAGACCTCTATCTCTCAACGCAGAAGACATCAGTGCTAGTGCTTTGTAAAAAACTAGGCATTGATTACTTGCAAGAAGCTCCGTTTCGCCTTTAAACCTTCATACTTGTTAAGGTCAAGGACACAGCAAATAGTAGTGATTCTCTGCGTCAGTGTGACGACCTATATGAAAACTCTAAATTAAGATTTGAATCATCGTGACACGGCACAAGTTCCCGCATGCTTTCCGTCAGAAACTCATCATGCTTCATCCCAAACAGAGGAAACCTCAACAGGGCATACAACAAGGATTATGGAACTCTATTCACCATAAAGAAACTGGGCGTGGGAGAGACATGCAAGTCCAAAACTGATCTGACCAGAAGACAAAGTTACATGCTTGTTTGCCTTGGCATTGAATTGAAGTAGCTGAAGTTTATTTATGACTGCCAGAATACCAAGTTTTCTCAGCCACTTTCTCTTCTGCCGGGAATTAATTAATGACAGTGTTTGAAATTCTGGAAGTCTCCCATCTGTTAAACCACCAAAAACTTTGGGGGAAAAGGTAAGGCCTAGTGCTTATAGGGAATCATATCCAAGTAGGGAGTTTCCTAACTTTCTCAAAAACTCACACATGCCATGCTCAAGAACTTGCACCCAACACGCAAAGCCTACGTGCACTCATATATTATTCTTCTACCCTTCTTGCACCATCCATTTCTTCGCAAATGAAAAGGGCAAAACCAATAAAAATACAGCAGCACAGTGGCAATATGGCCTTTAGAGAGAGGACTCGTGCTTCTCTCTCTGCGCACCGAACCTTAAATCAACAAAAGGGTTGTTGGCTTTTTAATGAAATTGAGGCAGACAAGTCTCGATTTGGATTTCCTTCGATAGCCCTACTTTGAATTTCTGCGCGTACCAGCATTATGGCATGACCAGGTTTGCCAGAGCCTTATTATTATTTTTTGAGAAAATTAGTTCAATGGTTTTAAAAAATACAACTCTCATAAATTATAGATAAAATTTTTGAATATTCTAGAATATGACCCATTCATAAAATTAATTAGATATATTTTAATTTTTTATCTTCAAATTAAATTTATTATTAAAATACAATATATCTATTGTAATTAATTTTTAACTGACTGAATCTTCCCTTTTTCTCTCTTGATATAAAATTGCCAATGTCTTCTTTCATTGCATAACTTTTTTTCTCTCCCTCTCTGTTTTTCCCAAGAGCACTATGAAAAGGACAATAAGGGTCAAACTTGAAAGCCATATTTAAATAAAAGTTTAAATTTTGAAAATTAAATTTTTTTAAAGTAACCGGGCTTGAGGACCTGACCTTGATAAGCTTTGTAAAAAAGAGCTTGGATTTAAACGGCCCTTCAAGTCCTATTATATTATTATTATTATTATTATTTTGGTGGAACACACGTTTAAAGCCAAGAAGGACCTGCTCACCTAAAGTCTTAATCCTATACATATTATATTATTATTAATTTTAATTTATTTTAAAATTAATTTAATATAATTTAATAAATATCAGTGTATAGTATAAAATTTTTAATATTTTTTATTTTTCTATAATCATCACGTTGTGTGTTTATAAAAAAGAAATTTCTTTTTGACTAAGATTTAAATTTTCTTACTAGACTTCTAAATATATGTTATTTAACTTCTAAAATTTTATGAAAATTTTTATTTTTAAAAAATTTTAGAATTTTAGAATTAATTTATAATGCTTAATTTTATTTTAATTGTTTTCAAAACACGAATTACGGGCTCAACCCTGAACCTTTTAAATAAGGGTTGAGTTTTAAAAAAAGGCTGAAAAATGAACAATCAGGCTTAAAAGCTCAAGCTCTTATCAGCTCAGCTCATAAGAGTCAAACCCGCCTGTATTTCTAGCTCCCGAGGTTGTAGAAAGCAAGGGGGAGGCTTTTTTAGGTCCATATATGTGATTTCTTCGTTTTATGTTTAACCAAAAATAAAAATAAAACTAATAAATCGAAGGGGTTTTCCTTTTTCTCCCAAGAAGAACTTAAATGAGAATCGATTTTTATTTGCAAAGTCTTCAGGGTTCTTTGAAATTTTTTGGGAAAAACAAATTTAAAGAATTTTAATATAGATTTCGTAACAACATTTTAATATTTGTATAAAAAAATATTTAACGTTTAGAAGAAAATCCTGGCCCAAAAAAAAGGTATAGAAGGAAATCACACCCTTAAATTACTTATAAAAAGTTTTTTATAAGTAGTAGTAATATCTACACAAAAATCAACTCTCTCAAAATCACTTTTTGCAAAATATTTCAAACAAAAATTGCAATCCACCAAAATCATCTTTTTATCCTGCAGGAACCAAGAAAAGCTGTCCTTTTGGTCGGCGCTCAGCTTCATTATCGCTTTAGCCTTCAGTAAGATTTGAAGAAGCTTGAATGAGTTGAATTTTAGAAACTGCAGATCAGTAATTTATATATCTCAGCATGAAAAGCCATTGCTGCTTTGCTTCACTCTGTTTCTTGAAAAACGACGGCATCCGAACAACATGACGTCGAAAGTGAAAAGAAAAGGCACTTCCTGTCACGGAGCCAGACACACATAGGGAAGGCAAGAGAGACACAAGGGTGAGAGGCCCGTGTTGGAGAAGGGGAGCACGTGCAAAGGGTCGGTGGCATTGGAGAGCCAAGAGATCTGCACGTGCCCTGCTTCTCCAACAAGGAGTTTCTCACTCGGTCAAGATCAGACAGAGTTTTAGAGCAGTGGTGGAAGTTGAACTGCATGGAGGAAAAGGCTGGGTATATATAGCTGCAACTTTAGATAGTAGAGATGAGATGAAACTTGGGTGAAGCTGTGAGTGAATTGAATGACTCTTTGTGAGATGGGGGAAAAAAAAGGAGACTTTTACACACATAGCTCATATTATAAGATCAAATAAAAAGAATCGTCTATTTTTTCTTAAATTTTAAAAATAACCTTTTTAATATTTAGTTTATAATTCATTTACAAAACTATCCTTTTAATATTTACTTTTTACAAATACCAAAAGATTCAAAATGCAAAAATTTTTTGGAACTGAGTGCAATGAATGCGAGATATATAATATAAAATGGCCTTTTTTAGAGATGAATGCGAGAGAGAAGACAGAATTGGACGCGAGAGAGACAAACACGAGACAACAGAATAGTGTGACTAAGCCACAGTCACGATCGTGAGATACAAACATGAGGTGAGATACATTGACGATACTCCACGGAACAGAGCATGTCAATAGGGAAATGAAATTACAAATTCATGATTTTTTTATTTTATTAGTTTAGATATTTGACTCTCTGTGATAAACTAAGAGTTCAAAAATTTTTGTAAACTATGCTTGAACCGTTTTGAACAAATAATTATGTATTTTTTGTGTTACTAATTCGTGATACTATATCATTGATATACTGCTATATATCACTGATATACTATCATAAATCAACATAACTAGATTGTAAACACTGTATTTTGCTTGGGCTTTCAAGTGTAAATTAAAACTTAATAAAAACATGATTAATCAAATAAAGGAATAAAAAAGGAAGGGCTTTTGTGA